CTTCTTCTTCTTCTTCTTCTACTTCTTCTTCTTCTTCTTCTTCTTCTTCTTCTTCTTCTTCTTCTTCTTCTTTCTCCTTCTTCTTCGTTCCATTGAGATTTCCCATGTCCATTTTTGCACATCTGTTGGTGTTTTACTGTTCAGGTGTTGCTTAGGCAGTCATATTGCCAAGGTATCATGAGTCTAGTAGCTTCCCTGTCATTTCTAGGAAATAATCTCACAGCCCACATCCTGGCCCTCTGTTCCTACAATCTTCGCTCCTCCCCTCCCAGATGGATCCCTAGCCTTAGGTGCAGAGGTTGTGTTCTAGGCACAAACACTGGGCTGTACACTTCATGATCTTGATCTCTACATTATAATAAGCTCCAGTTTTCTATAATGGTCTCCATTTGCTGCAAGGAGAAACTTCTTTGATGAGGTGTGAGAGCTGCACTTCTCTGTGGGTATAAGGATAAGTTTTAGAATGCTATCAGGAATCATGTTGGTCTAGTAAAGTGGCAATTTTAGCTTCTCCTCTAAGATCCATGACTTCACTGGCCCCAGGCATCAAGCAATCCTGTAGCTGGAAGTTTCTCCGGTCCTGCCCGTCCCCATGGTCCCATAGCTGCTTATAAAATAATCACTCAGAGGCTTAATATTAATTGCAAATTATATGGCCTATGGCTCAGGCTTCTTACTAGCTAGCTCTTATAACTTCAACTCACAACTATTAATCTATGTATCACCACATGTTCCGTGACTTTACCTGCATCCCATTACATGTTGCTCCTTGGATGGCGGTTTGGTGTCTCCCCTTACTCTCCTTTCTCCTCTCACTGTCTCTCTTGGATTTTCCTGCCTGGCTCCATCCTGCCCTGCCATAGGCCAATGCAGCTTTATTTATTAGCCAATGGGAGTAACACATATTCACAGCATACAGAAAGACATCCCACAGCAAGCACTTAAGTCCAATTAGACAGCTGTTGATTACCTCTAACATGTGAATGATATTATTGATCTTTTAGGGTAGTGGTTTGAATGACCCTTTTACAGAGAGTCACCTAAGACCATCAGAAAACACAGATAATTACATTACCATTCATAGCAGTAGCAAAATTACAGTTATGAAGTAGAAATGAAGATAATTTTATGGCTGGGGGTCACCACAACATGAGGGACTGTATTAAAAGGTCACAGCATTAGGAAGGTTGAGAACCACAGCTTTAGGGGTTTCTTGCCATACTGGCCGCTGTGTTTCATAGGCATCACAGCTGGGTAGGATGATTGATCGCTTCACCTCCCTTGGTGCCTTGCATGGCACCTCTGGTACTGTGAAAGCTATACTGGAGCTGGAGAGAGCTCTGAGGTAAAGAGCTCTGGCTTCACTTTCAGAGGACTCAGTTTGATTCCCAGCACCCACATGGTGGTTCGTAGCTATCTGTAACTTCTGTTCCAGGGAATCCATTGTCATCTTCCACTTCTGTGGGTGCCAGGCACACACATGGTGCACAGACATACATGCAGGCAAAACACCCACACACATACAAATATGTTAATAAAATTAAAAAACAAAGCAACAAGAAAGCTAGACCATTGGAAGGAGGATTTCGGATTGAAGTTCCAGCTCCAATATTCTGAGCCCTGCCCCTAACCAAAACAGGCAACTAATGACTGTTGAGAAAGGAAGAATTAGTCTTTCCCAGGGATGAGCCCCTAATTGGTTACCCCATACCAAGTGATCAACCCTGAAACCATACACAAACAAGCAACAATAAACCGACTCAGCAGGTTGCATTTATATATTCATGAACACACACACACACACACACACACACACACACACACACACACATACACCAATAGTGATCAAAGAGACCATCAGTTTAAGGGGGAGTGATGTGGGGGGGCATGGGAGAGATTGGATGGAGGAAAGAGAAGGGGAAAGTGATATAATTGTATTTTAATTAAAACAGATTTTTTTTAAAAAAAAAGAAAAAGAAAATTTGAATTTGCCCACACCAAACACGACACTGAACTCATGCCAAAGAGCTGTGTGATCAGAGCCTCCTGCAGCCTCCACCATCTCACACATCTCCGTCTCCTGATACTTGCCTGAGCACTATCATCCCTGCACCTCGTTTGTGGCCATGCTGTTATGACGGGGTGTGTCTGGTAAACACAAAGACTGGGTTTTTGGTCACCCTTCTCTAAGCAATGCAGTTTAACCCACATCTCCATAACATTTGCTGTTTGAGCCATCAGAGGTGACAAGGTGCACAGGAAGGTAGGGTCAGAGTGTGTGTAGACACTACTCCACATCATATTAGAGACTTAAGCATCATGGGTACCCAACTACCTATGCATGGAAGATCCTGGAACCAACCCCTCTGGAGATGAGAGATGACTATTTCTTTTAGGATGAATATGTTAGCAGTTAGTCACTAACTTAAAAACCACACACTGAGGGGCTGATGGGATGACTCTGTGGGTAAAGGTGCTTGCACATAAACTGAGGACCCAAGTTCAATCCCTGAGTCCCATAGGCTATGAGAGAGAACAGGTTCCTGAGGACTGTCTTCTGACTGACAGTTGTGTCATCTGTCAAATGAGTATTGTCCACATGCACACCGAGGCATGGCACATATACACACCACGTTATAGGGCATTATACACTATTCTCGATAGATATGCAGGATGCTGCCAGGCTCACAATAACATTTCTTGTACTTTAAATAGAATTAGAGTCTTCTAATTTCTAATTCCTTCACTCTTAGTAAAATACTGGACAGATCAAGTTGATTGCTTCACTAATGAATTCTTGTGGAACCCAGGACTGACTTCATCTATATATTTTGAAACACCATGGGGTTTCAAAAACACCAGAAGAGGTTTTTGTTTCCCAAGTGTTTCCAATTATTCTTGCTCTAAAAATCCCCAAGTTCTCTAGTTCTTATACACTTCCACTTTTGATAAAAACGTACATCCCTTTGGCAATCAGTGAAGAGGGAGGAGGTGGGCAGGGAATTGCTGGTGTGCCCATCCACGACTGATCTGACTTCCACGTGTCCTCTGGGCCCCAGACTCCTGGTTGCTGTCCTGGTGGGAGAGGTTCTGTACCTGCATGCTTGCACATTGCTTTCTGGTACTGCAGACTGGGGGGTTCAGCCCCAGGCCCTCAGCTTTCGTCACCTCCTGCCTTTCCCAGTTGGTGCCGGTTCTTTGACTGACTCAGTCCTGGTTGTATCATCTGTCAAACAGAGAAATCCACCCACCCCGGGAACACTTACTGTCTCAGGGCTGGCCGGGAGGCAGCATCACCCCAGTGCGCCCACTGTAAAGCTCACAGCCACGCCGGCTCTCTCCCATGACCCGAGGCTGCTCTTGCACTTGACCAACTGTCAATATCCCAGGTACCTCCCTTCATGCTTGCATCCCTGGACATTTCCCTGGGGATCCTAACCCCTTCCCCGCCCTGAAGCTCTTGCTCCCTCCTAATTCCTCTCATTGGCATTAACTTGTATATGAGACAGAATTGATGGAGTTGAAAATCCAATTTTCCTCACCATAGAACACGATATCTCTCCCAGCAGCTGTGACCAACACAGAGCGCTTCTCACAGGAGGCGCCTGGCCAGTTCCTGTTCCTTCTCTCCAGCTCTGAGCAGGAGGTTGGCTCTGGTCTGGGTTCACCCTTGGCTCTTCCTGTTCATAGGATCTGGAAATTGCACAACTGTCTTCATTAGATTCTCTACCATGTCCAATAAAACTTCTTGTTTGGACTTCTACCTCTTAATTTTAAGGTAAAATCTCTCACTGTCTTTCCACATATGTGCATATTTTTGCACTCTCTCCCATCTGTTACACACCGATATTACCTTCCTATCTCTCAGGTGTATGAGAAGGCACCTCCTGTTTCCCCATCTTTCCTCATCTTTTGTTTTTTCTTCTTAACATTTAGAGTAATCATTTTGACTTACATATTCTGTTTTTCTAAAAAATTATCTTTTCAGCTACACCACAGACAATTGTCAGGTGAGCCCAGGGGGTGGGCATCCCAGGCTCAGCTAAGCATTCACATACAATCCAGGACTTACACCTGCTGTTATCCATAGGTGACGGGATCCTGGACAAGCTGTGTGACTTTGGGACTCTCGCCTACATCCTCACTTATAAAACCTTTTATAATGTCCATTGTAGAAAGATTAGACATAAAAATATGAGCTGATAAACTTGACTCTGAGTCCAAATGTGGGCTTTTATAATTATCCCTGAGGTAACCGGATAGAGGGTGTGGTTCTGTGGTAGATGCAGGAGATACCTTGAGGAATTTGCTCCTGAACACTAACGTCTGGTTGAGGCAACAGTCCCCTCGTCTGGGAACCTCACGGGGCTGCTGGACCACACTCACCCAACAAGGAAGGCAAACTGCAAGGCATGGGACTCAGGCTGTCTGTGGCCCGTTTCACACTGCTGTAGTGGGTGCATGGCCAGCTTTCTCACGGCTCCCGAGTTCCGTGGGAGGCTTGTGCCGGGTTGTCCGTTTGGTAGTGTGCTCCTTCTCTGACCTTCCGGCTCATTCCCTGCTCTCTCACAGTCTTTCCCGGGGGTTCCCTTTAGATCTAGTCAAATCCTGACCCCGAGAAGACTGCCAAGCCACGGTCCTTAATGTTCTTCCAGACAGACATTTCTGAAAACAAGGAAACTGAAGCAAGAGGGTTGCTGTGAGTTCGAGTTCAACCTGGCCTACATATCAAATACCAGACAAGGGTACAGGCTACATAGCAAGGCACATAAAACCAAACCAAACAACCAAACAAACAAAAACCCACAAAAATAATATCATGACCATCATACCGTGAAGTAAGGTAAATTTTGCTAGCTGCTATTTTTCAAAAGAACGTTTAGGCTTTCTTTCCTTTCCTTTTTCTTTCTTTACTTCTCCCCCTTTTCTTTCTTTACTTTCTATGTGTTTGGGTATGGGTGCATATGTGGCATGGCTCTGTGCGGAGGCCGGAAGACAGCTTTTAGGAGCCTGTTCTCGCCTTCTACCGTGTGGGGTCTGGGGATTGAACTTGGGTCACTGGGCTTGGTGGCAAGCCCCCTTGCCTGCTGAGCCACCTTTGCTAAAGCCCTTTTTCCTTCTCTTTGCCTTTTTTAATGGAGAGAAGGCTTGCCAGCAGCCAGGAGCATTTCTATGAGATACGCAGCTGAATAATGTCTCAGGAGGCGTTTATGATCTAATCCTTGGACTCCATCAATGTGACTAGGAATGTTGCAGCGTGACTAATTGAAGGATGTTGAGGGGAGAGGTTATAAGGAGTTTTCATATGGTCTTTAATGTAATCCCACTGTTCTACATAACAGGAAAGCTGAGGAGGAAACTGAGTGGTCATGAGGCAGAGGTGGTATGATGTGACCATAAGCCAAGAAGCATGGACAATTACCAGGCTCTGAAAAGGCAAGAGTGGAACCTTCTCTGAGACAGTACCTGTGAGTACATGCGAGAACATCAGGTAAGCAATACTGACTTAGGCCTTCTGGCCTCTGTAAATGTGAGAGAATAACTTCCATGACTTTTAGCTGCCAGGTAGTGGGAATATACTCCAGCAGCCACAGGAAACTGATGCAGGATAATCATAAGCGAGGGGTAGGATGGGGAAGGTAGGAGCAGCGAGGTGGCAGCCTTTGCTTAGGTGAGCCTTAGTTTCCCACCACAGAATCATCTTAGGGATCAAGTGTCTCCCACAGCTTCCTGGGTGTCTGTGGCATCGAACATCACAGTGTCTTGGCTGGTGGGAATCAATCCTGGTGGGGATCAAGAGAGATCATTGAATCCTCAGACACAGGAGAGAACTGGTCTGGCTCTTCCAAGCTTCATCCATGTCAGCAACGCCCAATCATCCACGACTCATAAGCTAAAAACTGGTTTTTCAAAATCTTCGCATCAGGTGTCATTTATCATAAAGGTCTCTGTCTGTGCCACCTGGGAAGATGGCGCTCCCCACAACACAGGTGGCTGTGACCATTTTCTGTTCTTTTTCTCTCTTGGAACCTCCACAGACCCTAACTAAGGGCCTTTCCTACCAGTTCTGCCAGAGCCTGGGAAGGGAATAATGAAGTATGAGCACAGGTTACATCTCCTTTTGGAGTAAGCCTTGTCAGAGGGACAAAAATACTTTGAGAATCTCGGAGTAACGAGATAGCAAAACCTACCAGTCCCACTATAAATTCATTTTTCCATAACTTAAATTTTTTCAGTAGGAACAATTGAGAATTAAATGCACCACAGATTCAAATTTAATGTATCAGATAAAAATGAAAGATCCTGGTTCACAGGGCTGGAGAGATGACTCAGTGGTTAAGAGCCCTGGCTGCTCTTGCAGAGGACCTGGGTTTGGATTCCAGCACCCACATGATGGCTCACAATTATCCATAATTCCAGTTCCTGGAGGTTCAGTGTTCTCAACTGCCCCCTGCAGGCACCAGGTATGCATGAAGTGCACTTACGTACATGTAGACAAACACTCATACACACAAAATATAATGAAAAAGCTACAAAAACTTCTGGTCAAGTTAGAAATAGAAAATTAGTAATTATTTTGGGGAGAGTTACAAAATTATTACTAGAATATATGAGAGTGCACCACCTGCCATTCACCTTTCTCAAGGTTCAGGCATGGCTGAAAGAACCAGACTAAGTGTGCTGTGGCCACTCGTCACACTCTTGTGTGGGCACTGAGGGCATAGAGACTTAAATTACTTCTAGGGGGTACTGGCTGGTTTTGTGTGTCAACTTGACACAAGCTAGAGTCATCAGAGAAGAAGGCACATCAGTGAGGAAATGCCTCCATGAGATCCAGCTGTAAGGTATTCTCAATTAGTGATCAATGGGGGAGGGCGGGCCCAGCCCACGGTGGGTGGTGCCATTCTTGGGCTGCTGGTCCTGGGTTCTATAAGAAAGCAGATTGAGCATTCCAGGGGAAGCAAGTCAGTAAGCAGCATCTCTTTGGCCTCTACATCAGCTCTTGCCTCTGGGATCCTGCCCTGTTTGAATTCCTGTCCTTACTGCCTTCAGTGATGAACAGCAAGGCTGAAGTGTAAGCCAAATAAACCTTTTTCTCCCCAATTTGCTTTTTGATCATGGTGTTTCGTTGTAGCAATAGAAACCCTAACTAAGACACAGGGTGTCTGAGAAATGAACATGTTTGTCAAAGCATGCCACACCACAACAATGGCCGTTTCATCTCCCTAGTTTTTAGATTACTAAAAACTAATCCGGTGTTTGTAGTAAGACATTGTGTTTTCTGCATGTGAACGAGCCACCTGGCATCAGCTTTACTGTCACTGGGAGGTAGGCTAAGGCGTGGCCTCTGCTTGATTAAGTCACCCCGTGGCACCTCTACAGCAGAAGTGTTTAAGCTGTTTCCTTCCCACTCATGGAGGAACAGAAGTGCCTTCCTCCAAAACACCCCTCCAAGCACAGGCTTCTGTGAGAGGCCAATACCTCATAAGCCTTATAATGCTTTTTAAAAAGTATGGCCTAATCTAGAAGAACAGTTTCTGAGGAAATAAGAGATTCTCTTAAAGCTATAGAAAAATCAGTCTGGACCAACACTTTTCTTTTAAAAAAATTACATGCAGGGAGCTAGAGGGATGGCTCACTGGTGAAGAGCATGGGTTGCTCTTGCAGAGGACTTGGGCACCTACATGATGGTTCATGACCTTCCCTAACTCCATTTCCAGGGGACCTGATGTCCTCTTCTGATATATGTGGGTACTGCATGCATGCATATGGTGCACATACACAAATAAAATGACAAAATAAATCTTAAAAAATTACAGGCACTGCTGGAATATCTCCTTTTCAGGTGTCATAAGCAACTTCTATATTTTATATTCCCAAGTTGTTATTTTCCAATCCTTTTTATTTGTTCCCAGATACCCAGACAAAGGATGGAGGTAAAAACAATGCTGTACTTAATAATTGTGCGTGTGAACTTTTAGTTTTAATTTGTAGCAAGCACTCATGATAATTATAGAACCATTGTGCTTGTCTGTTTGTTTACAAACAGATTCTAGGTAGCTCCAGATGGTCTGGAACTTACTATTTATTCTAGACTGGCTCTAAATTTCAGCAATCCTCCTGCCTCTGCCTCCTGAGTCCTGGGATTAAAGGTATGCACTTTTACTATGCCAGGCTTGTAGATTTGTTTATTCTCAGCCGTGGAGGTGATCTCAAAGACTGTACAGACCAGTACAGTCCGAATGTCTTAAATGCCATCTACTATGGCGTATCAATCTAAATGGTGCTCAATTTCCACTTGAACACCTGCAAAGATTGGAGATGGCATGTGGAACACCTGTCGTAGGGTCTGTTAGCATCTGAGCTTTGGTGGTGGTTGAAACGCCTTCTGCATATTAGGCTAAAATTTTCCTAGAAACTTTTGACTGTCACACACACACACACACACACACACACACACACACACACACACACACGCATGCACACAGCAGAGGGTGTGTGGGGGCTTTTTAAATGCAGGTACCCATAGAGGCCAGAAGAGGGCATCAGATCTCCCAGAACTGGAGTTACAGGCACTTGTGAGCCATCTAACTTGGGTGCTGGGAACTGAACTCGGTCCTCTGGGAGAACAGCAAGCACTCCTAACCTCTGAGCATCTCTCCAGCCCCGGGTACTGATAATTTTATCTCTTCATTTTGCAGATCTGATGAACTAACAGCCAGGAAAGTAAACAACGTGTCTAAGATCTCACAGCTGGACAGGGAAGAGAAACTACCTGGATCTCTCTTGACCCACATCTCCTGCTTTTTGTTGTCCAACATCAGCTCAGGACTCACTGGAAACGTTGAATTCTTCCAAATATTGGTCCTTTCAGGCTAGATAGCCCTCTCACATCCCCATCGAAATGTTTCTTGTTCCAGAAAACCATGCTAACTTCAGAAAATAATTCTTCAGGTGAGATGTGGCTTCCTCCTCTCCCTCTTTTATGCTTAGAACCCTCAATCCCTCTTTAAATGCCGTGCTCAGAGCTGAAGACCGCTGTGCTTGTTAGCGGAGGGTCAAGTCTGTAGCCTCTGCTTCTGCCTCTACACAGCTTGTCTAATTTTGTAGTACCATGGTGGAAGCCTGTCATAGTGAGTTTTATTGAATTTATTTTCAATTTAACCACCATCTGTTGACTTGAGGTGGTCAGAAGGAAAGGTGTGAGTCAGGACCACAGGAAGAAAGAAAGACAATTCACAGTAAGTGACTGCCTTTGCCTAGTGCGCTCTCTAGTGCTGGGCTGTTGTCTCAGGCCTGATTGTAAGCAGCTCATTAGCATCATGATGATAATAAACCGAGCTTCAGAAATATCTATCTAAATATTTGTCCAATTAGACTTAAGCTAGCAGAACCGATGACTAGAAAGGTGACTTGATTGTGGCTGTCACTCTATTTCAATAGTGAGTTGCTCCACAGTCAGTCTAGAAGGTGGCTGCTCAGGAACCAGCAGGCTTCTTAAATCTCTCACTTGACCAACCCTGCTGCTCAGCATTCTGGGTAACTTCGCAGGTTCTGGTTCCATGGCTGTCCCTACCCCGAAAACCTGCTGCAAATGCTCTGTTTCTCCTCTTTCATTTTCTTTATTTCTTCTTTCCTCCACCTAAGCCTCTGAGAAGCCAAGCTCACCCCTTGTCTCTGTATTTGCCCACACAGCACATGTTTTCCATTCTGGGGGCTTCAGTGCATATTTTGGATTCGCACTGGGGGGGGGGGGGGCGGTTATAGGTGGGCTTTCCATCTCACTGGCTTTGTTTAATTTTCTTCCATCTTTAGAACAATTAAAGGAAACTCTCCTCTGTAACGGGGATGCTTTAACAGCATTCCAGTCTTTCCTCTCATGGAACTCGCTCCAAACAGCATTCTCCTTTGAGAGTTTCCAGTCAAGACAGCCCCATTCCTCTCATTATGCTCTTATTAAATTTCATGCTATTGTACAGTGTTTAAATGGAGACTTTTT